CCCTTTTCACAAAAAATTAATTCAAACCCCCCCAACGGCCCCCCCCCCCCCCCCCAAGCTTCTCTTCAATATTTTAGCTATATCTTTATTATGAATAATCTATGTACAAATTCAAAACAAGATTTGCAATAAGAAACTAAATTGATATAGAAAACGTTATTTTGCACATTTTAAATAAAAGTAAAACTCTAATATATGTTTATATACATAAAACGGCAAGAAAAATACAACAAAACGGAATGTATCAGAATTCAACATTATAAAATATCTACCTGAAGCCAAAAAATATTCAAAATGATAATAAAAACGGTAAAAAGAAGAGAAAATTGTTTTTACAAAAAAAAAACTAGTCGTCGTTTATTGTGGAATGTACATATACGACAGAAGTCAAGAGAATATTAACTCTTACCAACACAAGGCATAGAAAAAAGAAAATATTAAGTTGAAAGATATCATTCATTATTAGAACAACAAAGATGAGAATTTAGTTACAATTAGTCCTATAAGATAATAAAAGAAAGAATTACATACAAAAAATGTTCGTGAACTTTTATTACATCCGTCTCTTTCGTTACAAAAACAATAAATCGTTTCAGTTGTGGGTATATATATATTATAGCCAAGACCAACATAATTATCGGTAGCTGTCCAACAACCATTTTCACGAACAGTAGGCATTTCTGGACGAGTAGCTTCAATTTCTCTCACACAACCACGAATATAATTTGTTTCACCTGAAATATAATTCAATTAAGCATACATTGAATCTCAGAATAGGGCAAAATTTTTGCAAAGCATATATTTTTCATTGATTATCGGGATATTTGAGGTGAAAATGTGAACGCTAATTTGAGGAAAGAAAATGCTGCACGACAGTTAATGAAAGATGCTTAGTTTCATTCTATATCGACTACCATTACAATGAACTCTTTTTCAAACTCCGAGATCTTTCTCAAAAGAAAATCTTTGAAATTATGGGTAAGAAACTGTCCTTTAGAGATTTCAAAACATCGTCCGTGTGTATGGAGATCGAGACCAACATTATGATTTTGGATGAAAATAGAGCTCATTGTCGTACGTTTTTCTCGATAACTAAGATAACAAACTGAGAGCTGCTACTTTCAGCGAATGTCTCACTAACAAGTACCATCAAAGATGCGTGTGAATAAATAAATTTTTATAAATGTGTTTACATAAAATGAACATAGCATAAATAGCACAAATAGTAAAATTATACTCTATCAATAGTCTATTTCCATTTTCAAGAAATTCCTATTGGGGTCACTAATCAATTTTTTTAATTGTATATCGATGATTTATTAACTTTTTAGCAACTGACTTTCAAATTAAACAATAATAATTAGTGTGAAAAACGGCATCGAGTGGCACATCAGGCAAAATATCCTTCGAAAAGCTTCGTCCTCAATATATTCTAGACGATATTTTTACAGCTATTTTAACGTAAAATAGCCATGCTCAACAGAATAGAGCTGAAGACCTTCTGAGAACTCGATTAGTATAAGATTTTTTTAAAAAAGTCACACGTCAAACTCTATTTTTGCTCAAAATCATACTACTATAGTTTTTAGTATACTATCGTTTACGGTCGTAGAGCTTCGATCTGGGTAGTCCAGATGAGTCCAAAATATTTACCATCCGGTGTTCTTTCAATAATTTTCACACATTTAGCTCCACCAGGCATATCACATCTTTTCCATCTCATTAATAACCAATCCAATTTTTTTCCACAACCGGGACGATTTGAATGACACTCATAACAGTCAAGATGAAAACCATTTAAATAATCAATAACTTGTGGTACTTCAGGATTAACTTAAACGAAAAAAACAATAAAAGATGATTTAAGAATAATTTCTATTTAATACTTACCACATCGAAATAACCACGAAGATAAGAAGATGAAAAATATCGACCACATTAGTGAGATTCAACAATAAAAACAAAACTACAGAGAAAACTGTACTATTAAAATAAAAAAGATCTCTCAAAATAAATTCTGCTTAAATTACTGTACTATTCGAATTTTCTGTCATCCATCATTCGATTTCTTTGAACTCTCCGTGAATGATAGTACTTAATTGTCCAAAGTCTTCAGCCAATCAGGAAAATATATGCGAAAGAAGAGGAGAGAGATATTCATAGTAACTCAACACTTTACTGTTGTGTTGAGAAAAGTTTTAATTTTCTTTATCAGATCGCACCGAAGCTGTCACAGCTGTAAGAACAAGATATTCTTCGAATTAAGAATAGTTTTGAGAAGTTTTAATCGCATCTTGATTTCAAGCTATCATTTTATATTTGTGATTTTATTAGATCTCATCTTCTTGTACGTCCATATCGTGTCATTTGTAGATAAATTATACATTTGGTTTGAAGATGCATTCAAAATCAAGAGCTTCATCTCATTCACACCACGACAGCATTACTCCAGGCTCTATGAAGGTAAGAAATGAAGATGAAGCTCGAAAGACTTCACTGATACTCACACAAAGTTCTCTTGTCATTTTTATCCCTTAGTAGAATTGAGTGATGATGAACACGATACTTGAATTTCGAAATGACCGAGATGCTAAGTTTTTTTCTTCCACATTGTATACTTTTTTTTACCTATCATCGACTTTTATATTAAATCCTCTAAATTGCGTCTGTTTGAATTTGATAAACAAAAATGTCTTATTGAATTTTTTCTTTCGCTGCTTGGTTCAAGTAATTATCAAACTTTTGTTTATCTTTTAGTCAATACCGGATAGTAAAATCAAATCGTTTGAATCTGGTATACAAGCTAAAACAACATTGACAAAAAAAGAACAAGAAGATTTACGTCGAAAAATGGAAGAGAGAGAAAGACAAGAGGTTTTCAAAGATTTTGTTGCCTCGTTTGAACCGGCAAATAAATTAGCAAAAACATTTATCAAAGGTGGAACATTCAATCCCGGTTCTCATGAAGAATCACCACAAGATAAAGGAAAAGCGTATCGTCCAACAACACATTCATCGAGATTTAGTGATAGCAATACCCATCGAATATCATCACATACGACAATTAAAAAAGAGCCAACAACACCGATAACAGCACATAATCTAAAAACCGCAGAAACAAGCCACCAGCAAGCGATCAAAAGTACAAATTCAAATGATAATAAGCCTGTAAGTTAGAGATATGCACTGTAGAATATTTTTATGCCTTTTATTTTTTAATTCAGAAAGCTAAAAATGAAAGAGAAAAAAGAAAATCAAATTTAGAATCATTTAAAGAAGAACTAAAAAGGTAATAAACAAATGTTTCTGTTTAGTTGATCTTACATTTAATTTTCTTTTGTGTATATTATTTTAGAATACAAGAAGAACGTGATCGTCGTCATGTACAAAAACAACGAGAAAAAGATGGGAAACGGACACGATTTGAACCACCACCAATTGAACCGATGATTGCCTCAGAATTAGCTCGTAGGCGCTTTATCTCATATTTTCATGAACAAATTTCTCTCATTGCACAAGTTCTTTAGTTGATTCTGAGTCATTACATCCAGAAAATCGCTATGCGTCAGACGATCCAGGAACGACGAATATATTCTTAAGCAATTTGAATCGATCGGTGTGTTTTTATTCGTATTATTAAGACTATTTTGTATACTGTCTAAATTGTAGTTAAATGAATTGAATATCATGGAAGTATTTGGAAAATTTGGTCCATTAGCAAGTGTAAAAATTATGTATCCACGAACAGATGAGGAAAAATCACGAGGCTCTAATTGTGGCTTTGTTGCATATATGAGTCGAAAAGACGCCGAGCGTGCTATCAATGAATTAGATGGTGAGTCTTATCATTTACGTTTTTATAGACAGATAGACATAAATTATATTTTGTCAGATGTTTTATTCTTTTTGCTTTCTCTCAGGTTATGAATTGGACAATCTTCGTGTTCGTTTAAGTTGGGGTCGTGGTGAGTAGTAATGATTTTTGATTTTTTCATTTAATTACATAAGTTGTGTTTAATTTCTAGCTGTGCATATTCCACCACAGCCAGTGTATATTCCACCGTCAATGCGTGAATTAATCCAACCGCCACCACCATCAGGCTTGCCTTTCAACGCCCAACCAAATACGAAATATTTATCATCAAAATACATTGATATACAAAAATATGTGAATGGAGGAATCATACCAGAACATGACAAAAATTTTGAAAAAGTAATTTTATCCTAACTTTCTCTATAAACAGTAATAGTATTCTTATTGCCCTTGAAAATAAAATCAGATTTACATTATGTTACTTTGTAGAGTTACAGTATATGAGTATTTTTGTTTAGGTGTTGGAACACGCAATGGTTAAAGTTGTTGTTCCACAAGACAAGTGAGTTAATTATTTTGTTTGAGCTATTATAGATATTTCAATTTTGTTTCAATTTAGATTATTGCTCTGTCTAATACATCGAATGATTGAATTCGTTGTACGTGAGGGTCCATTATTTGAAGCATATATCATGAATAAAGAAATGAATAATGCACAATATAGGTAAAAATTCAGATTTAATTTTCATTCAAAGATATCGCTAACAGAAGCTATCAGGTCCATCGAACTTGAATAGTAGCGTATCGAAAAGAGAACTAACAAACGTATATTACCCCTTAAAAGGTTATTACTTGATCCCTCCACAAAAAATATTTTCTGAATGTTAAACGTTTAGTTGGTTACATTGTTCCTCTAGAGAAACGCTATGATATGTTTCTCGATCTGCTTTGGTTGAACTTGAATCTAAGGAACGGATCTCATATACTTCAAATGTGGACTAAAATCTGAGTCTATAACACAGAATTATACACTGTCCTATATCAGACGTCATACAGATGTATTCTGGATCATCGTTATTCAACGAAAACTTACTGGTCGTGCAAATGTTAGAAATTTCTTTATTGAACACTCAAGACCTTTTCGTACTGGTTTTACACATTTTTCCGTTAAAATGGTCAAACTAAGTTATTTACAGGATTTGCATCTGATATACTGAGGTCTTCGTCTAAGTTCAGGTCCATTATTAATTCCTCATACCTACTCATATTACAGATCCAAATCCAAGTTTTCTGGCTGTGCTTACGAAAATAAATGTCTATTTTAAGGTTTCTCTTCGAAAATCAAAGTCCAGCCCATCTTTATTATCGATGGAAATTATTTTCTGTAGTTCAAGTAAGTAAAAAAGATAAATCTGTCGTCCGAAATAAATTATGTTTCTATTTGTTTTCGTGCTTTAAGGGTGACAGTGTATCCGGTTGGCGTACCGAACCATTTAAAATGTTTATCAATGGAAGTACATGGATACCACCACCTTTAAATCAATATACTGAAGGAATGCCTGATGAAGCATTTGAAAAAGCCAAACAAGAATATGATGGCGGTAATAATGGAATTAAAAGAGGACGCTTGAGTGATAGGTAAGTAAACAATACCTCATCATCAAGTTTTTCATACTTCTAGCAGTTTTGTTTGTTTAGTCAACGCGATCGTTTGGAACATTTATTACGTTCATTAACTCCGGAAAGATCAAAAATTGGTGATGCCATGGTATATTGTATCGATCATGCTGAAGCTGCCGAAGAAATAGTTGATTGTATTGCTGAATCATTATCTATAGTACAAACTCCTGTACAGAAAAAGGTAACTAGTGATCGATATATTGGTTTCGATATCCTTTATCGATATATGTTTTTGTTCCCTAGATTTCTCGATTGTATCTTATATCCGATATATTGCACAACTGTAGTGTTCGAGTGACAAATGCAACGTATTTTCGTCGCGGGTATAAACTTAGTTAAGAAAAATTATTTTTACTATATAAAATTTTTTTATTTTTCTTTCAGTTTTGAAGCACGACTGCCAGATATTTTCAAAGATATTCATACTACATGGAAAAAAATCGATGGTAAACTAAAAGCTGAACACTTCAAAGTGAGTTTTTAACACATGAACTTACATATTGGTAGTATATGTGTGTGTATATTGTAGCTAAAAGTAATGAATAGTTTTCGGGCATGGGAAGGTAAGTTGAAACTGATCACAAATAAATGAGTATATTAAATAAATTTTGTATTATTTCTAAGGTTGGGCCATTTATTCAAGTGACTTTTTAATCAAATTACAAAATATATTTCTTGGACTAGTCAAACAAAAACCAACTAATAATTCAGTAAGTTGAAGAAATTTATTTTTAAATAGAATGTAAAAGTGAAATTTTTTCATCGTCAATTTAGGACAATAGTTCTGATGCGGGAGATGTTGCTGGTCATGGAGATAGCGATGAAGAAATCGATGGCAAACCGGTTGTTGTTGATTTGGATTGCAAACAGTTAGCCTTAGTGGCTGATTATGATGATGAAGAAATCGACGGAAAACCAATGATGATGTCACAAGATGAAGATATCGATGGCAAACCATTGGACAATAACGCTACACAACACGGTAATGGTGAGAATTGTGTATTATACTTATCACAAAAATAGCTTTGTAAATTGTATCAAAAGTCATGTTAATCCTGTGTTGTCGTTGTAAAATTATCAAAGTTAATTTATTGCACTACTATTTTAGTACGTTCACGATTTTCTGAAGAAATTAATGACACATCTGAATCAACAACAGCTAAACCTCGTTTTGTTCAAACACAATGGGAACCGGTTGATCCATCAAAACTTGTCGCACAAGGTAAAAATATGCAAAATTCTCTTCTAGTTTTCTTTGTTAAATTAATTTGTTCTTACGTAGCTGTAACAACATCAAAATGGGATTTGTTTGATGAAGAAAAATCAAATGATGATATATCGCGCGCACGAACGAAAATAAAAGAAAGTCTTTATGAAGATATAGGCGAAGAAGAAGAATTTTCAAAAAAGCAACCAACATCTATGATGCCAATGAGCACAAATACATCTATGCATTCTGATAAACAAAACACTATTAATCAACATACAAATCGAACCAATGAGTGAGTACAAATTTGATTGAATATCCCGGTGTTTAAATTTAAAAAAAAATACAAACTTACAAACATCTCAATTTCATCATATTCATCTGTATATTCAAGAGATATTTACAGTAACAGTAGAACTGACGACACAAAACAATCAACATTATCTTCTACTGTTGCGTCTCATTCAACAAATTCCACAGGAGGAAGATCTACATCCAACAATGATACATCTGAATCAAAAGCAAACAATGAAGAAAGAAGACAGAAATTACGGGATATTGAGGAAAGTATAGTTATTTATCGAAGAAGATAATTTGTAAAAAACAACAACTAAGATGTTCTTTATCCTTCTAGGTAAAAGTATTGAAATATCAAGACGAACTTGAATGCGGACGAAGAGAACGTAAACATGGTTTATCGCTAATTGAAGAAGTCGAATTTTACAGAAAAAAATTAATGAAAAAAGTAAGATAATGGATAAAATATGAATTCTGTGAGTCTAATATCTTATTTGACGACAGGTAGATTCAAGTTTCTGTTAATAAAAGCGATATGTCTAATTTTATTGAAGGAACATGAACATGATGAACAAACAGCATCTTATTCAACTTCTTTGCCACATTACGATAATAAATTAACATTCTCATCTATATCTAATGATCTAAAAACGTCACCATCAAGATCTCAATTCAACACAAAATCGACAACGCCAACGTCTTTCTTCTCAGTCGCTATTGTTCCCAGTAATCTTAGCAGTACCGTTAGTCGAGTAAAAGCGATAACATCCTCTACATCATCCTCATCTCGACATTCACGACGAAATAAATCGTCCAGCACAAGTCGGGAGAAAAGTACGTGAGTTACACATACAATTATCGAATACAGATGCATAGAAAAAAAAGAGAATTTGAGCCGAGCGAGTAAAAAAGATTAGTGCTGTAAGAGACAGTGGTATATGATATGATTATGAATGTCATAAATAATAATCTATAATCAAAATTTCTCTGTCTATGTACCTATCAATTAGATGATGAACATAATTCACGACGAGACAAATCGTTAACACAACATGTAAGTCTGATTTTATACTTTTTTAACACAAAGATTAAGATCCTTCTAATATTCCGACTGAACGAATGTATCGGATAGATCATAATGAATGAATCTGTCAGTATTTTATATTTTTCTCGTGTTTCTTTAGGAACCTAAGATCTTTTGTTTTAATGGATTTATGAGATATCTGCTGAAAGCACCATTATATTCAAAATTTAGAAAATTAATGAAAAAATGCGTGACAACCGACAGAAAAATTATTATTTCTCTATGAATTTTGATGTGGAAAAAATGTGAAGTGTAGCCTAAAGATAGAGCAAAGTCAGGGCTGCATAATGGCTAATTCAGGTTTTCTTTCTTTCAAAAGGTTAACACAGGAAATCGTTTTTGAGTTTACAAAGTTTTCATTTTTTTACCTTTTGTATAATTTACGTAGTTTTGATTGAAGTTCTGAAATTAAAGTTCAGGTATAGTTTTGTAGAGTATTTCGCGGTGCATCTTTTAAAAAACCCACTAATCTTAAGATCCTAAAGAAACACGAGGAAAATAGAAAATACTAAGAGGCTCATTCATTATGACGCATCCGATAGTTATATTTAAAATTAATTGAATTACGTTTTTTTAGAAATCTGATTCAAAAAGAAGTTCCTCAAATCAATCATCTGATTCGAATCAATCAGGGTAAATAAGAAATATTATTTTATAAGTCCCAAGTATCTATCCCTGTAGCCCTTCTAAAATAAATTTATAGTGTGATTATTACTGAATTTCGTCTGTAAAAAACCTTTTCTTTTCTTAATTCTTTTTTTCAATTTATTGCAAAGTTCATCAAAAACAAAATCCAGTCGTCATTCTAATCGTACAAAGAGAAAACGATCGTCATCATCATCTCAACGTTTATCATCACGATCGAGCAAAACCAATCGAAAGTAACTGAACTAATTTATAAATAATGTATGGATGAATTTTTTTGTGTTTTTTATCAAATGTTTTTCTTCTCAAGTTTTAATTACGTATTTAAAGTGAATGTTTCCTCCGCTTTCTATTTTTATTCAGACTTCTGAATTAAGAAGAGAACTTATGAAATAGTTCCAGTACGAGAATGATGATAATAATAATGTTTAGATTAAAAAAATAAAGCTAACTATGTGTTGTTTTTTCTATATTATGTACCTGATATCAATTGTTTTGCTTTTTCTATCTTTCTCAACTTTCGCACTGTTTTTGTACATAATCTCTGTGTAACACGTTTACGTGTCGAGTTAATCAATAAAATAATGAACAAAAAAAATGACAATGTATCTCAAGTATACAGCAAAAAAAAAGAAGGAAAAAATAATACTATTGACAAATAGAGTATCGCGTGTCAAGAAAAAACGAAGAATTCTTGAAAAGGAATTGTACGTACTATTTTAAAAATCCGTATTTGTCTTCCAGTTAAGGCTCCACCCCGGCTCAGAAATGCCGATTTTCGTCAAAAATACCGATTTTGAGAAAAGCACGTGATTGGATAGCCCAAAATGTCTGCTTTCTAATGGCATAATTTCTGTGTTGGTAGGATAGGTTTTTCATAGATTTTGAGCGAGTTTTTCAGAATCCCTACAGCAAAAAAAATGGCTTTTTTGCACTTGTATTGCCTAAACACACGCA